CATGGAGATGCGTGGCAAGTGATGGCTTCTCTGAGGAGTGACAGTTGAGCAGAGATCTGGAAGAAGGAGGGACTCTGTAGTCTCACACGATACTAGGATCTCTGCTGATTTTGACTGGGCTCCTCGGTTCCCCAGGTCTAGTGAGGCTATGGCTGGCAGGCTGATCACTATGAGGAGTTCCCGAATCATTTTGTGTGAGTAAGAGGCAGGCTGAGTTATTCAACATAGACTGTGGAGTTCAGAGAGCTCTTCCACTGGGTTGCAGCTGACCCTACAGAATGACCTTATTTGAGATAATCCCCAATGCAACTAAGACGGGCTTTTGGGATGAAGAAGGAGAACATCTCTGGACTCTGCCAGGAATGGCGTCAGCCTTGACAAGGGGTGGCTTGGGTACAGTTGAGTGTTGGAGGATGAAGTTTTGCCTATAGTCTCGAGTGGGGTTGGGGAGGTCAACCCACAGGACCCTCTTCAGGCGAGCGGGAGCTGAATGAAGAGTCCTCTGGCTTGTCTGTCTTGCTCTGTGGGCCTGGCTTGCCTTAGAGGCCGTGCTTATTCATCAGAGACCCTGGATTTGGAACTCACACTCTCTCATTACTGGACAGTGTGAGCGAGCAATCATAGGGCCAGCTGATCCAAAGTGCCTTGTGCAAAGTGAGACTTAACACCCGTAGCAAATTCAGCGTGAGTCCCTCAGGCCACCATGTTAACCGGTGGGAGCAGGAGAACAGGGGCAGCCAGGAAATGGCCCAGATGTGACATGAGATCGGGCCCAGCATCTAATAAGTTATGAACAAAATTGGTCAAAAATAGCAAAACATAAGAGAAGGTTCAGATAAACGAACTCTGTCAAAAGAAGATGTGAAATGGCTGAGAAAGGAAAGAGAAACTGCTAAACACCAAAAAAGTATGGTAAAATTCAGGAGTGTAACCAAGATTTAAACTTTAAAATCATGTGAGTTTATTAAAAAAATTAGCCTCATATAACAGCTAAAAAAGAAAGCAAACTTACTTAAGATATGAGAAAGAGGTGACAAAGAAATAATTTTTAATAACTTGTAAGTTAATTTTAATAATGAAAACCCTTGTGAAAAACGTTTTAAGAAGATGAAATGCATCAAAGCATAAAGTAATATCAAAAGGTAAAATAGTTTATAATGGGAAAGTAAAAGACATTAGATTATGATGAAAGTTAAGTCTAAAGAAGAATAATTAAAAACATGAAGGTAAATGGGATTAAAAACAGAAGTTAATGTGCTTTAATGTAAAAAGCATAAGTGATCACAGAATAAGGTATAATGTAATTTAAGAAGAAAAGGGAAATGGAAGGTGTGAAGGTCAAACAGCTTGGGGAAAGATAAATGAAGGAAATAGGTGATGGGTCAGCCTTCCCAAGAGTGGTTTCACTACTGAACCAACCATGATGTTCAAGGTGAAGGTGAAGAGCTGGCTCCACCCAGTTAAAGGGTGCTGTTTAGACCTTTCCCCATGATGAGTGGCTTCTTACCTCCACAGACGTGAACAGTGGACCTTGGCTTGGGGCCGGGGTTGTCAACCCAAGGCTGGGGTCTGGTGCTGTGCAGCGTATGTGGTAATAAAGCTCTAGACAGGCCAATACAAGCTTCAGAAAAATAACCCCATCAGACATTTGTGAGCACAAAGCTTGCTACAGTCAGGGTTATTAGCGAAGCATGACACAGCCACATGATGACCCATCATGTAGCCAGAACAGATGCTCTAGAAAAATATTTGTTGACATAAGAAATATTTAAGGTACTTACATGAAAAATGTATTATAGAACTGTAAGTACGGTATAATTCCTGCTGTTTAAAATGTATACAGTATATGAATAGTAAAAAATATTTATTCTTACTATTAGTAGTATTTTTTGGAGTTAGGGATTCTGGGTGATTTAAAAAAATTAGTTTTTATGCTCTTGGGAATTCTTCTACAATGAATCCCTATTATGTATTATAATCATTAGAAAAAACTGTAAAGTTTATTTCAAAAGAATAATAAAAACTGGCTTAGGCACATGCTTAGCTTCAGAAAGATGCTCTGTACCGGTTTTCCTGTGAGGAGGTGTGAGCAAAGAGGTGACATGACCTGGCTCATGGTTCTGGAGGACCATTAAGGCTGCTGTGTTAAATGCATTTCTGCACTGACAATGTGAGCTAGGGCAGCAGCAGGGATACCAGTCGGGAGGCCTAGAACAATTTTCCAGGTGAGTAGCAATGGTGGCTTGAGCCAGGGTTGAGGTAAGGAGAAGGAGTGGATGTTGGGTATGATTGGGTGGTAGAACCAACATGATTTACTGGGGAGAGAGACTAATGCTCTGTATACATCATATTTACTGAAAAGTATACTGCAGGCAATTGTTGAAAACCTTTTACTGATTGGGGTGCATGATGAGAAGGTGTAAGTTTTCGTGCATGTGAAAAATCTCGTAAATTATAGTTTACAGGGGTGGTGAAGAGAGAGTCCACCGGGGGGCGTTGTCCACGCTGGACTTGGTTGAGCCTTGAAATTGGGTGGGGCTCAGATAGGCCCAGGGGGACACTGCTCAGGAAGGAGCGGGCTCTGCCCAGGCCTGGTCTGGGCGTCATCAGTTGGAGTACTGGCCGTAGGTCTGAAGATTCCAATGGCAGCACAAGGCCAGTTTGTCCCACCCTTGGACTCCCGGTAGAGCAGTTTAGACTTTTTTCTTTAGACAGTGAGGGGGTGGGGTGATTGGGAATTTTTGACTACGGAGTGAGTAATATGTGTTTGCTTCAACAACTCGCTCCTCTAATAAACTCTGAATGAGTGCCATTGGTTAATCAATGGATAAGATTAATTCGGTAGCCAGAATGATTTATTTACTAAATAGGACCACATCGATGAGTTATTATATATTTCCAATATGTTATATATACCTATTGACATGGATTTATAAATGTATGTAAACACATAGTTATATATAGTATAGTTACATAGATATACATATACATATATAACATACACATAAAAACATAGTTATTTATAGTAGTTCCTATACTATATGCAGCATACAATATAGCTATACATAGATACACATATATGTATATATTTATTTCTGTTAATGAGAATGATTCTGTTGGACTTACAATGAAGATAATTTTTTTCTGATTACACAGCGACTTTAAAAAAGCTCCATCTGCATCTCAGGAAGTAGTTAAGGTGTGGATTTCCCGTCACTGGGCAACGGCGGGCCTCTCCAGCACACATCCCGCCCGCTGCAGCATGCCACGCTCGGGGAGGCTGTTCTCAGGGCCCCAGGCATAAACAGTTTGGCAGAAATACCCCTTTTCCCGTCTGTGTTTGTAAGGCAGTCTCTTTCATGCCAGAGGAGCTATTTTGGGAAGATGACTCATGTCACATTTTGGCCTCATTACAGTTTTAAGTTGTATACAGTGCTGGTTTGCCTGGAGGTGTAAACGTAAATTTTATCTTCATGTACATATGGAAATACCTGGGGCTGGAGAAATACTTACTGTTCTTGAGCTCTATATCAGGCTATAAGCAGGGAGGTTAAACAAGATATTTATCAAGATTCTAATTTTATTTCATTAAAGGCATGCTTCCAAAAGGATACCAGTCATTTGAGGTTGTGCCTCCTCCACTCTGCATTTACAAGCACAAATGCTGAAGTCCAAGAACCTAATGTCTCATTGTTACAAGCAGATGATTCTGTAAAGTAAACACTGTGCTTTCTCTACTGAAATTGTGTGAAAAGTGCAAGCAGGTGTTAAATGACTGTCTGGAGCTCTCAGTAACAGAAGGGGCAGGATGATTCAAAGTTTATTCAGGTGCAGACGATAACGAAAGGTGCAGCTATTCTGATTATTCCATTTGCTTTCTGGTGAATAATAAAGGATATTGCAAACCATTTTATTTCTTCAGTGATGAAAATGTATGGTGGCACTAGGAATGAGAAACATGGAATACCTGAGTTTGGTATTCCTTAAATGTGTTTATTGATTTGTCCCCAAGTAACTGAGTTTTAACAGGACAAACACTGAGTTTGGAGTGTGGCTAGATTTTCTATGACTTTCAAGGAATTTCATAGCCTACCTCAAAATTTAAAAGTTGGCAAAATGTTATTTATTTAAAAAATTTAAATCACAGCGTGAAAACAACATAAAAAATGACAGCAAATTTGTTATTTTTTTTTTTTTTTGCTGTAAGCCCATTTTGATGGTGAAATTTTTGGGGTAGAATGACAAACTTTCTGACCTCCTGACAGTAAGACCCCACCCTCTCCCTGTTTAGACATGCGCTTTAAAAAATTATCATCTAATTCGGCTGTGGGTTGGTGCTTTCCAATTGAGTTCTCACTCATGCTATTTAAGGAGATGTAGTAATCGTTAAGTAAGTTTCCTCAGTTAACCATAAACTAAATTTATTGTGAGATCTTTGAATCTAAAGTGGTGATTTGAAAATATTAGTGATTGGAGGGTGCTTAAGAAGTTGGCAATTCAACTGGATCCAGCTTCATGGCAAAATCTGGCCTCAAGTTCCCTTAACCGGTTATAACCTTCTAGCTGTGACAAGTGAAATGTCATTTTCTTCCTTTCTCTTATTGTTGAGACTCCCTTTTACTGCCTTATGGTTATCCAGTGACCGCCTCATTAACCGGCCACATCTGTACTTTCAGAAATTTAAATTGAGTGGATCCAGGTCAGGTGGAGGGCACTTATATTAAAAAACAAAATAAAATCAAGCACAAAGTTCTCCAAATGATTTTGATGTTCTAAGAGAACAACAGACAACAGTTAAATAAAGGACATGATTTGAAACCCAAATGTCAACATAGACACAATCTCTAAAGTTCTCTAAAGAGTGAGTCTTTTCACTCTTTTTTTGGAAGCTGTTAACTCGATTTCACGGTGGCATCTGCATGGTGTGACTGAAATGAGACAACTTCTGCAACTTAAGGAACATGTCGCTGTATTTCACATTTCCCCTTCTGTCTTCTCAGCCATCATGTATGTCATGGGAGCTCTTGGTCCTGCAGTGGGATATTTATTAGGTGGACTTCTTATTGGTTTTTATGTTGATCCCAGAAATCCTGTTCACCTTGACCAGAATGACCCTCGTTTCATTGGAAACTGGTAAGAACTATTTACTAAATTTTTCATTTCACTTATTATTAATGGTAGAGTCATAGTACCCTTGTAGTTAACATAAAAATTTCCCCAGAGGGAATATAAAAAAATAGCCAAAAGTCCCCTAGGAGGGAGTAGTAGGCAAAATAATAATCCCTTAAAGTTAAGCTATGTCCCAATCTCCAGGATTTAAGAATGTGTCACCTTTTATGGCAAAGGGGACTTTGTAGATGTGATTCAGTTAAGGATCTTGAGATGGGGAGATTATCCTGAGGGACCCTGGTAGACCTAATATAATTACAAGGGTCCTTTTAAGGGAGAGGAGGAGTCGGGAAGGTCAGAGCAAGAAAAGGTGAGATGGTGATTGAGGCAGAGGTTGGACTGATGTGCTGTGAGGTCGGAGGAAGGGACTGTGGCCCACAGAGCGAAGGTAGACTCTAGAGGGTGGAAAAGTAGGGAAACAGGTGCTTTCCTGAAGGAATGCCGCCTTGTAAACCCACTTTAGATGTCTGACCTCCAGGACTATAAAAATAATACATTTATGCTATTTTAAGCCGGGGAGTGGTTGGTAATTTGTCACAGCAGCAATAGGAAACTGACACAGAGGGTTTGGGAATAAGAGCCTAATCCCCATTCTTTAGGGTGGAGGTGTTTGTTTCCTTTATAGCAGAAGGGAGGAAGAAAAGTGATGTGGCTGTGTTGGGACTTTCCAGTGCACTTTAATCAAAGCTTTCATGATCTTTTCTGTACCTTTAAAAATTCCCCCCCCCACTTCCCTATTATATTGTGTTTCAGCTCTGTCAACCCTCCCCCGCTGCTGAGAACTCTATCTCTACTTTTCCATCATTACATGCAGTGAATCTCTTCACTGGGTGATAGTTTGTTCGCCACCTACGCTGGAGATTTAGCTACTCCCTCACTTGCTAGCCCTTAGTTGCCCTGTTAAGTAATGTTTAGGACTTAGAGAACGAGAACTCATCTTTGGTTGGTAGGTTATTTATTCAGATAGCCAGGGCTGTGTTTGAGTCCTTCATTGCCCTCAACTTGAACGTGAGTTCTTTCTTCATGATTGTAAGCACTAAGAAGTATTGGTGTCCTAAATTCATTTAACAAAGATTAGTGATAGGTATGCGCTGATAAGAAATTTTCATTTTATTCCAAAGAGAATACTGCAATATTGGACATTAGTGCCAAGTAATTACTTTCTAAAGTTTCTTGAGTACCATGTTCTGTGCTTCATTATAAGATAATAACCTCATAACCCTAAGCTTTGTGGGAATAATGTTTAACACTATTTTCAAAGCAGTTAAAATATTAATTAGGTTATAGAGCATTTCTTATTTTCTTTTTCTTTTTAATTGTTTTTATTGTTGTTCAAGTATAGTTGTTTCCATTTTTCCCCAAGCACTCTCCCCCCAAAAATCAGGCATTATTTTCATAAGTAATGCTCTTCGAAGATGGAAGTGCTAAGATCTAGATGACCCTGGTCTGGTAGAATTTTGAAATTATACAAAAGGAAGTTCCCTTGTCAGCAAGAGGGGAATAACATAGGAGTTTTCGGTTGTTGACTGATAGTGAAATTTTTGGTTTCAACTACTGTTTTCTTTGCAGCTTTGAAATAAATCAGAACAAGGATGTTTTTGTTTTGTTCTCAGAAAACTAGGTTATTAAAATATATTTATAAATATCCAAAGTATGTTCTGCATTCTGTATAGATGTCCATGAGAAAAGTGTGGCAATAGGGAACATTGGGCAGCAGAGAGAAAGGCAAAGAGAACCAACTAGGGGCAGATAGAATGAAGGAGGCAGGAGTTTTCAGCTTCAGGTGCTTTATACTGTCCTTAAAAAGGTTCCTAGAGGACATCAACCCAATTGGTAGTAAAGTGGAGGGATTAACAGTGCAGACCCTGAAGCCATAGTCCCCTGGGTTTCTATCTGAATTTGCCACCTAATAGCTGTGTGACCTTGGGGAAGTTACTTAACTTCTCTGTGTCTCCGCTGTTACTGTTTTTCTAAATCCATAAAACAGAAGTAGTTACAGTACCTACTTCACCGGGTTGTTGTAAGGAATGAATGAGTCTATATATGTAGAGCTAAATGGTTCTTGCTATATAATATGTTAGTTATTATTCATTTATTTGTAGTTCATCAATGTCCAAGTAGTTTTATTCATTTTAGTGGCCCAATATTCATTCTACAAGTAATAAAATTTCTCAATATAGAAATATATAATAGGAGTCTATTTAAAAATGAATTTTGTTTATCAAGTAGCCTTGTTTGTAAGACCTCTACCTTGAACAAAGACACAGTTATTTGATACAATATTATTTTACACCATGCCTAGTAGAATGATATGTTTTTCAATAAACATATACTGAAAGAAGGAAGGAAGGAAGGAAGGAATAATGCTAACATTTATTGGGTGCTTGCAAGCATTATACTAAGAGGTTTGCATACGTTGTTGTTTAAGCTTTATAACAGCCATATGTAGTCACTAATATTATGCTCAGTGATTTGAATAACTTGCCCAGAGCCTCAGAGCCAGTGAGAGCTGGGATAAACTGAGTCCAGGGTCAAAGTGTTAGTCAATATACTTAATTGACCCTCTTAGTCAGCAGTCTCTGAGTAGTGGTTCATAGAAAGGAGTTAGGAACCCTGGCTTTTCAATTGGGACTCTTATTCGTATTTCTTTTTCCAACACATAATGCACATTTCTTGTCTTACTCAGCTTTTTTATTTTAGCACCATGAGTATATCATGTGTTAACAATGATTTGTTACTGTAGACTGTTGAAGAAAGTGGGCTGCTTTGCTCTGCTTAGAAACGTCCCCGAACTTTTGTATTATTATTCTCTGTAATTCCTCTCCTTCTTCTATATTTACTCCCACTCTAGGCTACTATGAGTCTATCTTTAATGTTTGCATGTAATATAAGTAAATTACTCTGAGTGGGGTGAGGGAATCTGAGTGCAGATCTACATAAAAACAAACAAAACCAGTTGCTATGAATTGATTGCTGACGGGGCAGGCATTTTATTAGTTTCCTTTTGTACATTGGCTATTCATTTTGATGACTCCAAAACAGTTATTATGACCCCTCTTTCAGATGAGAAAGTGGGTTCAGAAAAGCAAAATACATTCCCTAGCATATTAGAGCTAGTAAGTGGTAAAGACAGGATAAAAACCCAGGTCAGTCTGAACCCACAGCCCCAGAACTGTTCCTTACACGGCCCTGCCTGCTCTCTTCTGGAGAGAGCGTGAGAGGTCTAGGGACTGAATGTCAAGAAAGGCTGATGAGCAGGGGCCACGTTAGGAAAGGCCTCGTAAGCAGCTGAGTACTGAAGGGGCCGGGTATTATAGTAGCTACATTTCCTGCAGACAGATGAATTCATTTTTTTCAAAACTTATCTCATTCAATGTACTTATGCAAGAAATTTTTTTCAGTACCTAATCCATGTCAGGCACTGTGTTTATCATTGTATTCTGAATAATTGAGATGCTTCAAGTCTGTCCTGAGCAATTGTCTCAAAAGAAAGCTGCTTTCTGATTGTTTTAAAATCTTTGTGTGATATAACTAAATATGCTTGCAAATAGCACACTGGATTATTAATGACTGGTTCTAGGAATGATTCTCTCAACTAAACTATGACCTTTAGCAACTAATGGCACTTTAATTGAAGCACTAATTTTATAAATGAATTTTTACTTTGCAATTGATCTATATTCTTACGGGGTTGAATCCAACATTTGTGTTTACAATGCTGCTTTCATTGTGGTTACAAGTGACGGGGTGTTGATACAGGGGACAGAGTCTGAGCACTCATGAACTTGGAAGCTTTAAAGACAGAGTTTGGAGTTGAGGAATCCTGGTTAGAAAGAATTGACTGTGTTAGGTAGGACCAGGGGCTGTTTGCTAAGAAATGTTTGAAAGGAGGCTGAGAAATTGTCTCCCCTGGGGAATTATGCAGGCAAGAAGCCTGAGGTCACAAACCCAGAGCCTTGATACAGGGCTAGAAGTTGAGTTCAACTGTCTGTTTCCTTCCTAGTTTCTGCAGCTGGGCAACCTCAGACGAGTTCAAAGACAGGTTATTGATTCAGCAACACTCAAGTTCTACTTCTCCTAAGAATCCTTCTGACACACATTTCCCCTCTCTGAACTTTTATAGGATTCATGGTCTATACCATGCAATTTAACACTTAATTATACATTCTTGCCTTTGTTGGAGACATATTCTTTAGCTTGCTTACAACTAAGTTGTAATTATTGAAGTAAAGAATCAAATGAACTGTCTTTGATGGCCCTCATGGTTAAATATGGTGAGCATTCAATATATCACATATATGAAGAAAAGTATTTGAGTCATCAGCAATTTAAAATACATTTTACATGAGATATTAATGATTTTCTCCTAAGAAAAAAGTGTCTCTACTGGTCCACAAAACATGCTACAGAGTCTGTATTATTTTCTATTAAATTTATGTATTATTAATTTATTAAAAAATGCACATTGTAGCAGAACTAATGCGAGTGCTTAAAAATACCTGAAAAGATGTTTTTGTCAGGTTGCTTATAATATTCATTATAATATGAGTATAGTTATTGGATAGTTTTCTCATTTATACCACAGAAAGGGAGGATTTTCTTGGTTTGTTCTATTTCCTACTGATTTACAGTTGATAAGCGGCAAAAGTTTTTTTTCTGGAGAATTTTATCACCACAAAATTCTACTTTGCTAATTTGTTCTCAAAATGCAACAGCCATAAATGCTATTCACATTTCCCAATTTTTTAGGTGGAGTGGATTCCTCCTTTGTGCCATTGCAATGTTTCTTGTGATATTCCCAATGTTTACTTTTCCAAAAAAGCTTCCACCTCGACACAAGAAAAAGAAAAAGAAAAAATACTCTGTTGATGCTGTTAGTGATGATGACGTTATGAAGGAAAAATCAAACAATACTGAGCAAGTGGACAAAAAAGTTTCTTCTATGGGATTTGGAAAGAATGTCAGAGGTAAAGTATGTCTTTTCAATAAATATGTGCATGGTAGTTCAGATCTGTGTGGCTCAAACTGTGGTCCCAGGCCAGTGCCGCCCACAGCTGTTACTGGTCTGAGACAAGATAAGTACTGAAATTGAGAGTAAGTATTGTGAAACTTTTAAAGACATTTGACAGAGTCATTTTATGCCTGTTGGATCTAATGGTAATAATAACAAATTGGGCTTATGTTTTGTATGTTTTTTAAAAAAATTATTTTCTAATGATTCATCTTTAATGGATTTTGCAAAAGTATCAATGCATGATAGGCTGGAAATGATAATAATAATAATAATAAAACTATTCCTTCTGACAGATAGTTTGAGAAACACTGATTTAGATCCAAAGATACATTTATATATGTCATTTACTATATCTAGAGATGTTTGATTTTAAAAAATATTGTACTTATTGCATTATGTAATGGATGGTTTGTTTCAGGGGAATAGTGGGTTTGGTAATATGGCCTGATCCTTCCTTAAATATTGCACAAAGCCTACCGCTAGCCAGGGATCCCACTCAACAGTGGCTCTGCCAAATGCTTGTTAAGTGGACAGAGAGAAGGGCAGCCAGGGGCTGAGCCTCCAAACCCAGTATAAAAAAATATCTAAAAAGTCTCAGTGATGTGTAGTGATCTGTTTTTTTCATTTTTATTTCTCTTAAAAATAATGACTTTATTAAAGCTAGATTAGGCAATCTCCAACCTAAACAATTTAACTGTATCTCAACCAGTCTTTGTCCAACAGTCAGTATATCTGTTAAGTGGCAATAAATCCCTTCAATCCAAGAAACTTACAACGCTGCACTCCCATTAATTTCTGCTATTTCCTGAGTTCCCTGAAATTGATTTTTGTGAGATTATGAAGCATGACATTTGTAAAGTGCTTACTGTTTTAGATAAAATTTACCTAGGCACATTATCATCTCACTTTGACTACATACACAGTAAAGCAAAAGAGACATATGTCCGGCCTAGCGGGAAGTTACTAATATATTATGGAACTATCCCCACAGTCTAAGAATGATAATGTTTAGATTGGACTATTTTTAATTACTGTACTGTTCAAAGCAAGTGAAGTGACATTTCACTGGAAATGCTTCTTTCCTATTAAGTTTTAGATTTGCCTCCCCCTCCACTTCCTCATTTTGTGACAATGTGTATTTTGAAACTGCCAAAAAATGACTTCTTCTACTGTCATAACATAACCATTTCCCTGGATGCCACTGTGGCCTGAGCTCTTACCCCATGGACCAGGACCAGCCCATTGTTTTTCATGGATGTTATTATGAACCGTGATGGCTGCTACCAAAGGAGCGATTTTCTCTTCTCTTTTTACAATTTAGATGAGAGCTAGGTTGATGTTAAAGAATTTACAGTACAGGAACGGACCTAGAGTCTTATAGAGAGTATAAAGTAAACTTAAGGGGAGAAATAAAGGTGGAGGTAAGCTAAAATTGTATGTTTTATAGCTTAGAAATTGATGACCTGAGTGTGAAATACATGCTGTATTGGGTAGTAGAGAAAAGATCAATACCAGATACCAACAACAGAAACGAACGTTGATGGGAACAGTTCTTCTTGGGGATGCGGCGCAGACAAGGTTGTCAGGGCCCTGTCCACATTCTGGACCTTCCCGCGTCATGGTGGAGGCTCCCGCCGGCCCGCACCTGCATCATTGGCCTGAAGGTTTTCTTTGTAGGCTGGGAAACTGCAGGGCTTCTGCTCGAGGTAGGTTCAAGTGCCAAGGAATGAACATTCTGGCCTCCCCCCACAAAAGCAGTCTTAACCGATGGCTGATAAACACCCAGCTCCCTCACCTCAGGGGAGAGACAGTTCTGTGTGTTTCTCCACCGTTTGCAGGCTGCCTTCTCTGCCTGAACATCACGTCCGCATTCCCTGTCCCGTGTTTTCTGACTCCCAAGTGAATGACTTGGACTTGAGTCCTCGTCTCAGGACCTGCTTCTGGGGGAACATGCACTTGTTGAGGCAGGCAGGTCCAAAAGTGATAAAAGTCATCACAAAGTCTTAAAATTATTTTTTTCCAAATTGATTCTACGCATTGTTTTGTTGGTGTCTTCTTGTACTGCCAGGGGTTGCTTCCTGCCATCTTTTCTATGCTCAGTTTCATGGTTCATGATGTTTTCTTTATTTTTTCCTTTTTATTGAGTTTATTGGGGTGACACTGGTTAAGAAAATTATACAGGTTTCAGGTACACAATTGTACAACATGTCACCTGTAGACTGTATTGCGTGTTCACCACCCCAAGTCATTCTCCATCTATTGCCATTTACCCCCCTATTCCCTCTTCCACCGCCCTCCACCCCCGCCCCGCACTGGCAATCGCCACACTGCTGTCCGTGTCCATGAATTTTTCTTTTTTCCTTCTGTGCTCAGTCCCTCCACCCCTCTCACCACCCAGCCCCTACAGACAGTTGTCCCCCTGCTCTCTATGAGCCTGTCACTATTTTGCTTGTTAGTTCATTTTGTTTATTAGATTCCACATGAGTTAAACCATATGCTGCTTATTTTGACCTGACTGGCTTATTTCCCTTAGAATAATGCTCTCCAGGTTGATCCATGTTGTTGCAAGGAGTAAGATTTTTTCTTTTTTATGGCCAAATAGTATTCCATTGTGTGTATGTACCATGGTTGTTTCATCCACTCATCTACTGATGAGCACAAAGCTGTTTCCAAATTGTGGCTATTGTAAATAAAGCTGCAATGAACATAGAGGTGCTTATATTCTTTTGAATTAGTGTTTTGGAATTCTTTGGATAAGTTCCCAGAAGTGGAATCACTAGGTCATAGGCAGTTCCCTTTTTATTTTTTGAGGGTAACTCCATACTGCTTTCCACAGTGGCTGCACCAGTCTGCATTCCCACCAACAGTGCACAAGGGTTCCCTTTTCTCCACATCCTCACCAACACTTGTTGTTTGTTGATTTATTCATGATAGCCATTCTGACAGGTGTGAGATAATAGCTCATTTATTGTTTTAATTTGCATTTCTGTGATGATTAATGATGTTGGACATCTTTTCATATGTCTATTGGCCATCTGGATATCTTCTTTGGAGAAGTGTTTATTCAGTTCTTTTGCCCATTTTTAATTGGATTGTTTCTTTTTTTGGTGTTGAGTTTTATGAGTTCTTTATAAATTTTGAATATTAGCCCCTTATCAGATATATCATTGACAAATATGTTCTCCCATTCAGTAAGTTACCTTTTCATTTTATTGATGGTTTCCTTTGCTTTGCAAAACTTTTTAGTTTGATGTAGTTCCATTTGTTTATTTTTTCTTTTCTTTCCCAAGGAGATACATCAGAAAAAACATTGCTACAAGAAATGTCCAAGATACTACTGCCTATGTTTTCTTCTAGGGTTTTTATGGTTTTGAGTTTAACATTTAAGTCTTTAATCCATTTTGAGTATATTATTGTGTATGGTGTAATAAGGTGGTCTAGTTTCATTTTTTTGCACATATCTGTCCAATTTGTCCAGCATCATTTTTTGAATAGACTATCTTTACCCCATTGTATGCTTTTGTCTCATTTGTCAAATATTAATTGACTGTAAAGGCATGGTTTATTTCTGGTCTCTCTATGCTGTTCCATTGACCTACTGAATATATGTCTGTTTTTATGCCAGTACTAGGCTGTTATGATTACTATGGACTTGTAGTATAGTTTGCATGATTCAGGTAGCATGATTCCTCCAACTTTGTTTTTCCTTCTCAAGATTGCTTGTGGCTATTCAGGGTCTTTTGTGGTTCCATATAAATTTTTGGAATATTTGTTCTAGTTATGTGAAATATACCATTGGTGTTTTGATAAGAATTGCATTGACTATAGATTGCTTTGGGTAGTATGGACATTTTAATGATGTTCATTCTTTTCACCTATGAACACTTATTTTTATCATCTTCAATTTCTTTCTTCAGTGTCTTATAATTTTCCAAGTACAGGTCTTTTACATCCTTCCTTAAATTTATTCCTAAGTATTTTATTCTTTCTGAAGCAATTGTAAATGAGATTGTTTTCTTAGTTTCCCTTTCTGATAGTTAATAGTGTATAATAATACAATTGATTTCTGGATATTAATTTTTATCTGCTACTTTGCTGAATTCATTTATCAGTTCTAGTAGTTTCTTAGTGGAATAGTTAGAGTTCTCTGTATAAACTATCATGTCTTCTGCAAATAATGACAGTTTTACTTCCTCCTTTACAATTTGGATGCCTTTTATTTCTTCTTCTTGTCTGATGCTGGCCAGGACTTCCAGTACTATGTTGAATTAAGAGAGGTGAAAGCAGACATCCCTCTCTTATCCTGATCTTAAGGGAAATGATTGTAGTTTTTTCCCATTGAGTATAGTATTGGCTGTAGGTTTGTCATATATGGCCTTTATTGTGTTTCGGTATGTTACTTTTATTCCCACTTTGCTGAGAGTTTTTTAAATCATAAATGGTGCTATATTTTATCAATGTTTTTCTGCATCTATTAATATGATCTTGGGATTTTTTTCCTTCATTTTGTTTATGTGGCGTATCACGTTTATTGATTTGCAGATATTGTGTCAACCTTGTATCTCCAGAATAAATCCCACTTGACTATGGTGTATAATTTCTTTAATGTATTGCTGGATATGGTTTGCTAATATTTGTTGAGGATTTTAGCATCTATTTTCATTAGTGTTAATGACCTATAATTTTCTTTCTTTGCAGTGTCTTTGTCTGGGGTTGGAATTAGGATAATGCTGGCCTCATAAAATAAGCTTGGGAGTCCTTCCTCCTCTTGAATTTTTTTGAATAGTTTGAGAATAGGTGTTAGTTCTTCTCTGAATGATTGGTAAAATTTACCTGTGAAGCCATCTGGTCCTCGGCTTTTGGTTATTGGGATTTTTTTGATTACTGCTTCAATTTCAATAGTTGTAATCTACTTATTCAGATTCTCTGATTCTTTCTGATTCATTTTTGAAA